GAGTCCTCAGGCTCAGGCTCAGCTTTCCTGGACAGTTTTAGGGAGAGGGTCACATGAGGGACCTTGTCAGAATAGGAATCAGCCTTGTCAGGGAACAGGACCAAGTGTCCCAGCCCAAGGGGCCCTGCTCCCCCATCAGACCCAGCTCTACAGATAAATCCCGCAGTGTGTCCTGGGCCTTATCTGCCCAGCTCTCCTTATATGGAAGGCTGTTTATCGGGCATCTGATAAGCTGAGCATTTCATCAAGCATTTCATCAGTAAGGGGCAACACTTGCAGAGGAGGAAAATCTAAGAAGAGGCTACCAGCCTCCTCCCAGAAGACACTCCACCCTAGCCACCCCTGTACCCCTCCAGGACCAGGATGACCACTGTCCTGCCTGCCCATCCACCCCGCCACCTGGCTCCTCTGGCCTGCAGGTCAGGGGTTACAGCCCTCTCCTCACCTTGAGCTCTAGTCCATCACCAGCGTGGTCCCCACTGCCGCCGCCTGGGTTTCTCTGAGGACTGCCCGGCCCTCTTCTCTACACACCCCAGAGGTATATTCAACTTGGACATATTCCTTGGACAGCACAGGGCAGGCAGGCTCCCTCTCTAAGAAGATGCCCCCAGCGTTCTCAAACAGGATGCTGTCAAGATGGAACTGCAGGAATCCAGAGGTGTCGAGGGAGAGGGTGTCCTAGGGACACACAGGAGGCTCCAAGCCTGGAGGGCCAAGAAGGGTTAGGCCTGCCAGCACCATTGAATCAGGGGCTGTGGATCCGGGTACTCCAAGGAATTATGATTGGTTCAGGCCCAAGAGATTAACCAGTTAGGAGCTCATGTAAGGAGGTGAGCGTGGTGGCCCACACAGGTGTAATCCCAGGAGGATGGTTGAGATCTGGATTACACAGCAAGATCCCGGCTCGAAACAAAGATCAAAGAGCAAGGCTTAGCCGGGCAATGGTGCCGCACACCTTCAATCCCAGCTCTTGGGAGGCAGAGGCAGGCGAATCTCTGTGAGTTTGAGGCCAGCCTGGTCTACAAATGAGTCCACGACAGTCAGGGCTACACAGAAAAACCCTGTCTCAAAAAAACCAAAAAAAACAAACAGAAAAAAAAAAAAAAAGCAGGGCTTTCTCGATTTCTCAGCCTCGCAGATGCCGAGAGAATGTGTTGCTAGTATCTCTCTACCCTGGAATCTGAAGAGAAA